GAGTCAGGAGAAGCCATGCGAGGTGCAAGCCAGTGCTTGGTTAAAGCCGAGCGTCTCCAGTCTCTGCCTCGTTCCTTCTTCTTCCCCATTCTCTCGGTGCCGTGGTTCTGTCTCATTCGTCCTTCCTCCCCGATTCCTTCTGCCTCTCCATTCCTGTCTATGGGCTCAGCAAAGAGAGGATGCAGAAGGACCAAAACAACTGCCCGGCGCGGAGACTTTGTGCCTCGATATCAGGCAAGTCACAAAAAATGTCCCTCCCCAGCAGGCTAATGCCATTCTTGTCCTGCAGGCTGAGTAAGGGCTGTTTCCTAGAAATTGCTCCAATGCACTTCCCCTGAACCAGGTGCATGAGGCATCTGGGGAATGTAGCTCATAACAACACCAGGCAGCTGGGGGGTCTGCTCACATCATCTCTCCAGGCCTGGCTGTTTCCTTTCAGTGGCTCCAGACACAGTAAAAGCCCATTCAGGAAGCTGTCACCGTTGTGGATGAGAAAGATGTTTGGCTGTAAAACCTGGGCTGCCTGACGCATGTTGTAGCTTGGCCTCCTGAAGCATTTTCCAAATGTTGCTTCATGCCACCCATGCAAGGCAGGAAAGACGATGCATTAATGTTCCTCCTTCATCAACAAGTAATATCAGCCCAATGAGGTGAAGGGACTTGGCCAAGGTCATGAGTAAGAATAACGGACCCCACAGTCTTCATAAACCTCCTGCCAGCTGTCTATCAGCAGGCAATTATTCCAGCTTTCCATTGTAACTGTTCTCTCCAGACTCATCATTCCCATCTCAGCTGTTCTCCACAAGCCTTTTAACATTTCCATCAGGCCAATGAGTGATTGGGGTGGCTCAGGTTTAGCGACCCAGCTTCGAAGCAACTTGATGAGTCTTGATTTCCAGAACCTGCTCAGCATCGACCCTCTGAAATTGGGGCCCATTGAAGGGGGCTTAAGTTAGACCCCCACAAAAGGACCAATCAATCATTTTGGGAAACCCTGGCCCAGCCTCTGGGTGTTCACAGATTTAATTATATGGGAAGAACAAGTTAACAGGGATATGGTGTCTAGCAATTTTCTGTTAGCTGCAGACTCCAGCCTCAGCGACTTCCACAGGGCCGAGTCCTTGGCTTGTTAGTTAATTTGTAAGCACGATCGTAGAAGAGAATCATGGAGCCAAAAAGCCCCAGGGCTGGAAGGGTCCTTGTTCAGTCCAACCCCTGCACAAAGGCAGGATGTGCTGTTCCTAACCCATCCCAGACATGCCACGTGTACACATGGCTTTTATCACTGTATGCACTGGCCCCCTACTCTAGCTCCGTGTGCAAGGGTTGACTGGGGCACAGGCGGTCAGTACGAGTGGGTCGCACTAGGTCAGTGGTTTACCGGTGTGGATGCTGGGTGTCAGCTCTAGTCCAAGGGCTGAGTTAAAACTGCAGTCAGGGAACCAATTGACCCAGGCCTGGAGGTTCAAGAAAGGAAGAGGAGCAAGCAGAAGCAGGCAGGAGGGTCGAAGCCAGAAGATCAGAGCTCGGAGTCAGGTTTAGGAGATCCAAGCAGGCCAGAGGCACAGCAAAACCATCTACTGCCCAGATAGCTTGCCGCTGTCTGTCCTAGTTTATACAAGCCAGGGTGAGCAGGGCCTTCTCCTGAGGAATGACTCTTCCCAATCCCCTTGATTCCCTCCAGCTGCAGCATGGGACCTACCCTGGCTGGGCCTCCATTCATTACACCACATATCTCTGAACTTCAGGGAAGTTTAGGACCCAGATCCTAATTCAACCAACTCAGCTCTGGTCTGAGAAATAAAAGCTCAGGTCCGAGTTACAGCAGCACTGGCCTGTGTCATCAGGAGAATAGGAAGGTCACTTGACCAATGCACTTGCTGCTTGGCCATGCCAGCCAACATGCCTCTACAAACAAGCCAAGGGGTTTTGCATGTAGAAGGGTTATCACTACAGCTGTGACATGTGCAAAGCTACTGATAAAGAGAAGTTTGGCTTGTCTGCCACATTTGCAGTTGCACTGAATGTAGCCACATGGTTTCCACTCCTTGCTCCTTCACCTCCTAGTTCCAATACAGCAAGCAGAGCTGAAAGAAAGAGCTGCTTTGACTGCTGGCAAGCAATGGAAATGCATTCAGTAGCACAGAAACCCAAAATGCACTATTTGGGGTGAATGTCGGGGAGTCTGGGATCCCAGAGTTTGAGCTGGTCACAGCTCTCTCCATGAATTTAGGCTTGTATCACACACACATCACACCTACTTCTGAATGCATATTACTACGTATCATTTATATCACCACAGTGCCCAGCATCCCCAAGCAGCGACCAGAACCCCATGGGGCTCAGTGCTGTAGAAACACAGAGAAAAGGGCATCCTTTATCCTGCAGTCTAAATGGCAGCCTTCCACCACTGCGCAAGTGGTTGTCAACCTTTTCAGACTTGAGGAACTGCTCATTAGACTCAAGTCACTCCGTGGAAAATGCCAGCTCTTTGCTTTCACTTGTTTCTTGACTACAGAAAAATGTGAGAGCAAGTCTTCTGTGGCAAAGAACCGTGGAAGCCCAGAGCAGGGCACACTGTTTGGGACACTCTGGATTCTTATTTGCAACCTCTGGGTTTGTGTTGTGACTCATGCATAGGTGTTTGCACACCTAATAGTGCTAATATTGAGTGGCACCCTGGAGCGCCTGAAAAGGATCTCAGAGCACCCTGGTTGAGCATCACTGCTCTACTCCTTAGCCCCCCTGCTGTGCACTCTCCCACCAGGGTAATATAAAGTGTTAATACCCACCTAGTACTTGACAGTAGGTGCTGTGTGCCCTGCCAGATGGACATCCCAGAGAGAACACAGATTATCTGACTCTGACCTCACACACCCCTCCCTTGTGAACTCAAGGAGAATCCCCACTGGCTGCAGGGTGTATGGCACATGGGACAGGAGCTCAGATTGCACCCAGTGGAGGTCAGCAGTGCACACGCTGGCCAGTATTTCACCACATGCAACCCTGGAAGGAAGCCGCTTGTCCAGTGCAGCTTTCTCCTCACTTCTCCCTCGCTCCAGATGACAGAGATCAAATGCAAGTTTGGACCTACACAAAATAACCCTGCTATGTGACTGGTTTCGGCTGCTACTGCAGACCTCTCAGAGGATGCCTGTAAGACTCTCAGACCTCAGATCTGGCTACCTCCATTAGAAGAGACGTGTTCACAGGTCTCTGTTCAGTGCACTGACGACCAGTGCCAGCCTTGGGTGGTCTCTCTTGGCACGTGTGGCTCACAATGTAGTGCTGTAACATCAGAGCCATGCCAGGCTCCCAGCCCACTCCCTCACCCCCTCTGTAACACAAGACCAGCTGTCTGCTCTGGTACCTGCTGGGTGGATTGTAGCCCAGGCTCCTGGCACAGCTACAGCATGGCTGGCCAGCCTGCCTTAAGAGGCATCCAACCACTGCCCCAAGGTGTCCTGGGCATATTCAGCAACCTTCCTCCCATGCAGACAAAATCAGGTTTCATCAGCCCAAGGTTGAAGACCAAAGGTCAATTTACAGGTGGGTAAAGCCCTGTGCTTTGTCCATATGCATGGAGGGGAGAGGGAGCTACATTGCTCGTAGCCCCTGGCCTGAGCTTTCATAGATTTCATAGACATCAGGGCTGGAAGGGACCTCGGAAGATCATCGAGTCCAGCCCCCTGCCCAAAGGGCAGGAAGTCAGCTGGGGTCATAGGATCCCAGCAAGATAAGCATCCAGTTTCATCCTGAAGGTGTTCAATGAAGGCGCTTGAACCACCTCCGGTGGCAGGCTGTTCCAGACCTTGGGGGCTCGGACAGTAAAGAAGTTCTTCCTTATGTCCAGCCTGAAACGATCTTGAAGCAGTTTGTGACCATTCGACCTCGTCATCCCTTGGGGCGCTCTGGTGAACAAACGTTCCCCCAGATACTGGTGGTCACCCCTGACAAACTTGTAGGTGGCCATCAGATCACCCCTGAGCCTGCGCTTTTTCAGGCTAAAGAGCCCCAGGGCTCTCAGCCTGTCATCGTAGGGTCTGCTTCCCTGACCTCTGATCATGCGCGTGGCTCTTCTCTGGACTCTCTCAAGCTTCTCCACATCCTTTTTGAATTGTGGAGCCCAAAATTGGACACAGTACTCCAGCTGCGGCCTCACTAAGGCCGAGTACAGGGGGAGAATGACGTCCCGGGATTTGCTTGAGAAGCATCTATGGATGCAAGCCAGCGTTTTGGTCGCTTTACTAGCTGCCGCATCGCATTGCAGGCTCATGTTCATCTCGTGGTCAATGATGACCCCCAAGTCTCTTTCTTCCATAGTGCTAGCCAACATAGCACTGCCGAGCCTATAAGGATGCTGCGGGTTTTTTTTCCCCAAGGTGGAGAACCTTGCATTTATTGGCGTTGAACACCATCAGATTCTCGTCCGCCCACTTGCTGAGCCTGTCCAGGTCAGCCTGGATAACCTGCCTGTCTTCTGGTGTGGATGCTTTGCCCCAAAGTTTGGTGTCATCGGCGAACTTGGCCAGTCCGCTTCTGACTCCAGTGTCCACATCATTAATGAAGATGTTGAACAGTACGGGTCCAAGGACAGAGCTTCTTACCTACAAGAGGTGTCAGCGGGGTCGGAGCTCAGCTCCACACCAGAAGATCAAGGCTTGATTCCAGCTATCTTGGAGAGAAAAGGCTGGGGGCGGGGGTGGTCATTGCTTAGCCCCTTCCACATAAATACAGGACATCTCAACCCAAGTGTGAACAAATCCATGGGCAACAGTTCTACCAGCTCTCCTGGACTTCAGGAAATCATGCATCTCACCTTGTCTCCCTGCTGTCCCCTGCATTGCCCCGCTCTCCTGCTTCATGGCATCCCTCCCTGAGCCAAGCAGCCCAGTGGGGACACTGCAATCACAGACATGCCAAGAGTGGCATGCAGCCCTGAAAGAGCTCATCAGTCCTGGCCCCCATCCACCATGGTACCTCGGCCCCGGCCCGCTCACCTTAACCAGCAGCTCATAGCGCGGGATCCGCTGCACAGGCTTGATCATCAGGTCGGACAATGCCTGCTTCTCCTTGTTCTCTCTCATGCTTTGCTGCAAAACACCAGGAGGGGACAGAGGCAGGTCCTTGTTAGGAATGGGGATGAGGAGTGGCAGGGTTTGCCCCTGGATGCCAGTGGATGTCCTGACACCAGGGTCAAGGCCAAGTCTCAACATGACCATTCTGGGGGATGTGAAACTGGTGTCTATTAGGGGCCAGGATAAGAGCAAATATGTGGGCAGATCATCCTCTATCTGTCTCTGAAGCACCTGGTGCTGGTCACTGTCAAAGCCAGGATAGGCCTTGGGTGTGATACAGTCTGACAGCCTCATGTTTGTCTCATCTGAGCACCCCTAGGCAGTGCACAAGAGCCGGGCAGATACCCCAGTCGGCTTACAGGTGCAATCTCATGGGAATGGGCAGGGCTGGCAGACAGTGCCCATCTTCCCTGCTAGGAGGGTGCTCTCTGAGTCCCTCTCCCTTCCCTCCGGGCTCCCTAGTCTGTCTGAATTTGAGCCCACCTGCTCCTTGCCCATGAAGGCATCATGTGGCCCATCATGCATCTCCATGGGGATGCCGAATGAACATGGGCATTTCTACAATCAGGCGAGTTCCAGATGCCGTGCCGCAGAGGGTGAGAGACAGGGAGGGAACTCTTTGTTCAGATACCAGGAGCTGGTGTAAAAGTGCTCCAAAGAATTCATGGAGCAAATGCGGCTGCACAACAGCCAGGGTCTGGAGTGATACTGGCTGGGGTCTGGAGTCACACCAGTTCACACCAGCTGGGGGCTGGAGGGGCACTGCTTCACACCAACTGAGGTCTGGAGTGATGCCATAGCCCTCTCTTTACCTTGG